CAAGGGTCAGGAAAGCTTCCCTGGTTGTCAGTGCTCCATTTATATTGTCACACATTTTTTCTTGGGAAAATTAGACATTGTGGAGAGCACAACTGCAAGTTCTGTGCTTGAAAGTCTCCTAGACCCTGTCTTGTGTGCTTCTTCCCTTGGATGGCTCAAATCTGCATCCTTTCATTATAATAAATCACAACCGTGAGAATAACATTTGTACTGATTTTGGTGGGTCCTTTTAATGAAACATTGAAACTGAGGATGGTCTTGCCCACCCCCCACCCCACAATTGCATTTATGTCAGAAGCAAGAGTGATATTGGAGACCACTGAACTTGCAGTTGGTGTCAAAAGTGAGGGTGGACTTGGAGACTCCTGAAATTTGCACAAGCCAACCCACAGGTTTGAGAAATAATAAGGTGAAGTTGCTTTAAGACATTCAGTTTTGTTGCAACTTGTTATATACCAATATATAAGATGGGCGTTACCAAAACAACAAACCAAAATATAATAAATTATGAATTTTTAATTTCATATAATTCAAAAGAAAATGGTATCTGCTTATAGATGGAAGATAAACTTATTTTGGAGACTGAGAAGGAAATTGTGTTTATCAGTAACAACATATTTAGTAAATGTACTGTCTACAATAACTTGAAAAGCAAATCAAGTGACTACTTAGCCTGTAGCTCCAGGAGATAAGATTGCAAAAAGCTGGTACATTATTGAATACTGACTGTTGCTTGTTGTGTTTAGCAAGATATAAGAAAGAGATTAGCTCAGGCAATAATTACCCAGTTTTTAAGCAGACATGAAAGTAAGTTACATCTATAAATGTAAGACTTTCAGAGTGAGAGAAACAAACTTCTTCTGGATCTAAACAACAGGAAATATAATGAAAAAGTTTATGAACAATGAAGATCCATTAGAAGTTCTCTGAAAACAAGGGGTCTTGGCCTTGAGGCAAAGCTCTGATTAAGTATGTTGACCTCCCACACAGGCTATTATTTTCACCTGGCTCTGAGTTTTCTATTAAATTAAGAAAGATGACAATAAAGCAAAGAATAAATAAGGAAAAAAGAAAGCAAAGAACGAAAGTTGACTTGATACCCTAAGTCTCAGAAAAAAAATGTTATTTTTATTAACAATACATTAAATCGAAGGCAAAAATAACAAAAACATGATGTTTTTCTACTTTTAAAATATTTCACCTTGAAATAATTTAGATTTATAGGAGAATTGTAAAGATAGTTTGGACAGCTTCTCTTTATTCTTCAAATAGCTTATCCTAATGTCAACACCTAATATACCATGGTACATTTATCAAAAAAAATTAATATTGGTACAACACTTTGAACTATAGATTTTATTTGACTTTATCTAGTTTTCTTTATACTAATTTCCTTTTTCCTGTTCCAAGATCCAATCAGGATAACAATTTTTCAGTTTTTCCTTGTCTTCCATTATTTTTACATTTGAAAACTACTGGTCAGGTATTTTTAGACTGTCCGTCCTTGTGGGATGGTCTGACATTTTCTCATGATTAGATTGGGGTTATGGCTATGTGGGAAAGTATCACACAGGTGAATGTCCTTCTCTTGGTATCATACAAGTGGGAACATAATAGCAACATGAATTATCACTGGTGATATGAACCTTCCCTTGGAGTGAAGGTGGCATCTACCAAGTTTCTCTACTCTAAAGGCACTCCTCTTTTTCATACTCTAATTATCAGAAGACAGTGATTTAGTCCAGGCTACTCTCCAGGAAAGAGAACTTAAGGTTCATCTCCTGGAGGGAAGATTATCAAATAATTTGTGGGTGTATGTTAGAGCTATCATGGTAATTAATGAATATTTTGGAAGAGGCAATGTGAGGTATGCAAATATCCTGTTCCCCAAAGTCTCACAGATTAATTTTACCATTCATCAGTGGATCTTGCCTAAGAAGAATGATTGCTCTCATGTTCTAATACCCATTTTCCATTTCCTTCATTCTTTCTTACTGATATGATTTGGACTTTTTTAAGAAGGAAGATTTGTTCCTTCCTCCCACTTATTTTACATATCCAATCATGTATTTATACTAGTATGGATTCATATGTATATATTATTCTTTGAGTTATTGTACAATACTATAGATATTTATTTACTCAAATTGTGCCAGTTTGTCCACTGGGAGGTCTTTCACTTAGCTCCTGTGTCTTTCTCATATGTCCCATCCTTTTGTTGCTGTTGTTTTTAGCATCACAAGGTACTTCAGGCTTATCTTGTATATATGCTGTCCTAGCTTTAGAATCAGTCATTTCTCAAGGGAGGCCTATTTCCTTTTACAGGAGAAAAGTATTTAAAATCTAAGATGTCAGCATTTAGTATGGTTATTGCTACTGGTTGTCACCACTTTTGACCCTTTCAGTGAATGGTGTTAGAAAGTATATGTATGTAATATATGTACAGTTTCAGTCTATCTAGCCATCTAGCTATCCATCTATCTATCATCTATTTATCTATCATCTATGTATCTATCTCTTAAAATGAGTTCATTCTGATATCTCCAACTCTAATTCAGTTACACAGGGTTCATTCTAGCCTTACCCTTGGCCTATTGTAACTTTTTTGACATGAGAAACCTGACTCCCAATATCTATATATCTATATAATTTTAAAATTATTTGTTCAACCTAGTATACACCTAGATTCAGAATCGCTAATTGATATCATTCTGAGCAACAAGTTTAACTAGAGTACAGTTTTGATGTACAGTTCTATTTTGACTTTATATTTAGAGTATCCATTAAAAATATGGCTCTTCAAAATTACTTATACAGCTCCTTTTTCTGCCTACCCTTTTCAGTGAGGTTATAGCATACATTTGTAATATAGTTAGATTCATTTCTGACAGTCTCTATTCCATCCCTGCATCCCCCGACACCCTAGTTGGTTGTTTTTTATAAGTGCATACAGTAAAAATCTCTCTTTTTGATGTATACTTCCATGGTTTCTGACAGATGCAGACAGATGCACCAACACAATGCTGTACAGAACAATTCCACCACCCAAACAATAGACTTGTGCTGTCCCCATCTCATCAACCACTCTGCTCTCCCTCAAATCCTGACAAGCATTAATCTGTTTTCTTTTCCTGTAGTTTTGCATTTTCCAGAATGAAATAAATGAAATTATGCAAAACGTAGTCTTTTGAGTCGGACTTCTTTTACTTAGCAAAATACATGTGTCATCCATGTTTTAAAAGGATCTATAGCTAATATTTTTAAATGGTTGAGCAATATTTCACTCTATGTATGTACCAGTTTGTTTATTCATTCACCTGTTGAAATACAACTTGTTTTATTTCCAGTTTTTGGTGATTGTAATAAAAGTTGTTATAAACCTTCACAGGCAGCTTTATGTGAACATAACATTGTAGTGCACTTGGGAAAATACCTAGAAGAAGGCTGTCATGTGGTAAGTGTATTTTTTTTTTTTTTTTTTTTTTTTGCGGTACGCGGGCCTCTCACTGTTGTGGCCTCTCCCGTTGCGGAGCACGGGCTCCGGACGCGCAGGCTCAGCGGCCATGGCTCACGGGCCCAGACGCTCCGCGGCACGTGGGATCTTCCCAGACCGGGGCACAAACCCGTGTCTCCCGCATCGGCAGGCGGACTCTCAACCACTGCGCCACCAGGGAAGCCCGGTAAGTGTATTTTTAAGTTTATAAGAAGTCACCAAACTTTTCAAAAGTGTCTGTGCCTTTTTACATTCCCACCAGCAATGTGTGAGTGTTTCAGTTCCTCTACATCCCAATCTAAACTTAATATTGTCTCCCTATTTGATTACAGCCCTTTAGTGAGTGTGAACTGGTATCTCATGGTATTTGCATTTCCCTAATGAGTAGTGATATTGAGTATATTTCATGTGCTTATTTGCTATCCATTTATATTCTGTGGTGAAAGTTCTGCTCAGATATTTTTCCCATTTTTCAAATATTTTTAAACTTTATTTTGAACTAATTCCAGGTAACTGGAAGTTGCAAAGATAGTACATAGAGTTCTCATGTACCCTTCATCAAATGTTACCAGTGGTTACATCTGTTATAAGTATAGTATCAAAACCAAAGAATTAACACTGGGAAAATGTGAGTGTATAATTCTATGTCATTTTATGAGATGTAGATATTTGTGTAGTCTACCACTGCAATTAAGATACAGAACAATTCTATCACCACAAAGATCTCTCTCAGGCTACTCATTTATAGTTTCCCCCAAACACCCTGCTCCTCACTATTTCTAGCCCCATCTACCCACTCATCTATTCTCCTTTTTTATAATTTTGTCATTTTAAGACTTTTTTATAAATGGAATTACACAATACGAGACCTTTAGAGATTGGTGTTTTCACTTACCATAATGGACTTAGGATACATCCAAGTTGTTGCATGTATCAAGAATCCATTCCTTTTAATCGTTTAATTTAATTTTCATTGTTAAGCAGTATTCTATGATATAGATATATCAGTTTGTTTAACCATTCACTCACTGAAAGGCATTTGGGTTGTTTCCAGTTGCTGACTGTTAGAAACAAAGCTGCTATGAATAGTTGAGTGTGAATTTGAAACCGTGCGTAATCATTAGTCAAATCCATTTCACCTGCCTTCACTAATCAAGGTAGTTTTAAGACTTGTGTGTCCTCCAAGCAGCACGTAGCTTAAACAGTAAGATGTTTGCTGGAGTTGTTTATCAGCAACTTGGAGTCAGCTGTGTCTAGTTATAGTTGAAGTTGGAGTCAGCTGTGTCTAGTAAGACTGGATAGGACCAGAGACCCTCCTATTTGTCCTGAACGAGTGTCCGCCCAGTGACCTTTTGACATCAGAAGACCCAAAACTCCACCTTCAGAACATGCTAATCACCTCCATTTTTAAACGTGCAGAGGCCTGCAGCTTAATTACACCTGAGAAGATTACTGCACCTTTTTCCAATCACCTTTCCCCACCCTCCCCAAGCTCCCCATACCTCAGAATGCCCTGCTTCTTTATTCTTTATCCCACAAACCTCCTAAGGTCCTTGCCCTCGAGGTGGAGGTTTGGAGACTTGTTCTCCTTTCTCATTTGGTTGCATTGGGAATAAATCCTCTCTGCTGCACACCTCAGCTTCTCAGCGGTTTGGCTTGCTGTGCATCAGGTAAAAGGAACGTGGTTTGCTAACAATTTTTTCTTTGTTTTTTGTTTGTGCCTGTATGTGCATGTTAATATAACTTTTAAATTTCTCTGGAATAAATGCCCCAAAGTACAATTGCTGGGTTATATGGTAAGTAAATGTTTAGTTTTGTAAAAAGACTGTTGTAGTCTTTTCAGTGTGGCTGTATCATTCTAGATGCCCACCTGCAATGTATGAGTAATCTAGTTCTCTCCATCCTTGTCAGCATATAGTATTATCAGTATTGTGCATTTTAGTCATTCTGACAGAGAGAAGTGGTATCTCATTGTGGTTTTAATTTGCATTTCTCTAAAGGCTAATGATGTTGGACATGTTTTCATGCTTATTGATGGGTCCTCTTAGGTGAAATATATTTTCATGCGGTACACGGGCCTCTCACTGTTGTGGCCTCTCCCTTTGCGGAGCACAGGCTCCGGACGCACAGGCTCAGTGGCCATGGCTCACGGGCCCAGCCGCTCCGCAGCATGTGGGATCTTCCCGGACCGGGGCACGAACCCGTGTCCCCTAGCCTCGGCAGGCAGACTCTCAACCACTGTGCCACCAGGGAAGCCCCCCTGAGAGTTCTTTACGTCTTCTAGATACAAAGCTTTTGTAGGATATATAGTTTGCAAATATGTTCTCCCAGTCTGCAGCTAGTTTTTTATGCTCTTGACTGAGTCATTTGCAGAGAAAAGTTTTTAATAACATCCATTTTTTATAAAGGTTTCCTTTTGTGGGTTGTGCTCTTGGTTTGAGTCTAAAAATTATTTACCAACCCTTAAGTCCTGAGTTTTTCTTCTATTTTTTTTCTAAAAGCTTAGATTTTTCTGAGTTTTTTTTCCTAGAAGTTCTCCAAAAGTGATTCATTTTAGTTAATTTTTGTATAAAGTTTGAAATTTAGTTCAAAGTTCCTTTTTTTCCCTACAAATGTCCGATTGTTCCACATTGTTTGTTTAATAGGCTATTCTTCCTCCACTGAATTGCTTTTGTATTTATCAATTAGGCATATTGGTGTGGATCTATTTATGAGTTTCCATTCTATTACATTAATCTGTGTGTCTATTCTCCACTAATACCACACTGCCTTGATTACTATGAGTATAAAGTAGCTGTTAATGTCAATTGGGTGATTCCTTCTACTTTATTCTTCTTTTACAAAATTGTTTTAGCTATTCTAAGTCCACTGTCATTCCATGCAAGTTTTAGTATGTCTGTCTATATATGCAAAAAAGAAAATCTTTCTGGAATTTTTGTAAGAATTGTGTTAAACTACACATATATTTGGGAAGATATCTTTAGTATGTCAAGTCTTTCACTCCATGGACTCAATATACCTTTACTTGTTTAGATATTTTTTGAATATTTATCAGTAATTTTAAAAAGTACTCAGCTTAAAAGTCCAGTACAAGTTTTGTTAGATTAATGCAAAAGTGTTTCATTTTTATGAATTATTGGAAATAGTACTATTATTTTTAACTTTGGTTTCTACATGCTATTATGTAGAAATGCGATTGATTTTCCTGTTGTTGACCTTGTATCCTGTGAACTTTCTGAACGGAAAAGTCTATTCACAGAGACTTTTGGAGATTGAGATTTTCTATGTAGACCATAATGTCACCTGCAAAAAAAAAAAAAAAAATTCTTTTCAATCTGCAGGCCTTTAATTTCTTTGTCTTGCCTTATTGTGCTGGCTAAAACATACACTATATGTTCTCGTGTTCTTTTTGTTCTAATGGCTGGAACATCACTACTGTTTAGAGTGGTGACAATGGATATGCTTTCTTTGTTCTCAAAATTAGAAGGCAGGCTTTTGGTCTTACATCATTAAGTACAATGTTAGTTGTAGGTTTATTTTTTTTTACTAGGTGATCTTATCAAGTTGATAAAAAATATCCTCTACAATGTCCTGATAGTTTTTTTATCATAAATTGATGTTGGATTTTGTCAGATGCTCTTCCTGAATTAACTGATGTGATCACATGCTTTTTCTTCCTTAGCCTGTTGATATGATGGATTATTTTGGTTGGTTTTCAAATATTAAATCAACTTTGTATACTTAGAATGAATTCTATTTAGTCATGGTATACAATTTCCATACAACTCTAGATTATTCAGTTTGCTAATATTTTCTTGAAGACATTTACATATAATTTTATGATAGAGAAACTTCTTTAATTGTTATGCTTTGTTCTGATTTTGTTACCAGGGTAATGCTGGCCTCAAACATTGATTTGAGAAATGTTTCATCCTCTTCTATATGCTGGAAGAGATTTGCTAAATTAGTATTAATTCTTCTTTACATATTTGGAAGATTTCTCCAGTGAAGTTTTCTGAGATTTGTTTTACAAAAAAATTTTAATTAAAAATTTATTTAATATTACAGTACTATTCAGTTTATCTATTTCATTTTGATTTAGTTTTGCTAGCTTGTAGTTTTGAAGGAGTTGATTCATTTCTTCTAAATTATTGCATTTATGAGTAAATAGTTGTTCATACCATTACCTTGATGTCCTTTTAATAGCTACAGTGTCTGTAGTTCTGTACAAATGATGCTGTCATTTCTAACATTCATGATTTATTTCTTTTTATTTTTGCTAGAGGATTATCAATTTAATGATTTCTCTTTCACTTTTGAAACATTCTTGCAAGGTAAGAATTCTGTTTGAACATTTTTCTTTCAGCAGCTTGCAGATATCACTTTATTTATGGGTGAGTTATTTACTTAAACCATTTATTTATGCTTTATGATGGGAAGTCTGGTATAATTCTCACTCTTTTTCTTTCAGAGGTAGTGTGCTCTTTTTCTCTATCTGCCTTCAACATTTTGCTTTGCTTTTCATATGAATTCTGCTTGGTGCTCTCTGAGCTTGATAGGTCTGTTTTAGTGTCTGTCACTGTTTTGGAAAATTCTTATACATTATTTCTTCAAATATCTTCAACCTCTATTTTCTCATTCTAGGCTTCTAATTACATATGTTAGACCATTTGGTATTGTCCCAGAGCTCTTGGATATTCTATTCTGTTTTTTGTTCAATATTTGTTTCTCTTTCCATTTTAGTCGGGTAGTTCTGATTATCCAAGTTCTTCTTCAAGCTTATTGATTCTTTCCTTGGCAGTGTCTAATCTGATGAATCTGTCAAAGTCAATCTCTGTCACTATAGTTTTATTTCTAGCATTTCTGCTTGCTTCTTTCCTCTACGTTTTATTATCTTTGAGGGAATTATTTATCTAATATTTATGTTTTATAACTTTTCAATTATAGCCTTTATCATATTCATCGTAATTATTTTAAATTTACTGTTTGATAGTTCCAACATCTGTGTCATACCTGATTCTTATCTCAATATTTGCTTTGTCTCTTTAGACTGTGTTCCTTCTTGTCTTTTGGTGTGCCACATTACTTTTTGTTAAAATCTAGGTGTGCTATATAGCACAATAATATTGATATAAACATTTTTTTCTGATTGGAGATGAGTACACCTTTTTTTCTGGCTAGGCTTTTAGAGTGTAGGTTCCTGTTATTCTAATCTGCCATTGAGCCCAGTTTAAACTTTTCTCTATGCATGGTAAGACTTTTTAAAAAATTATTTATTTTTGCTGCTCTCCAGAAAGAATCTTTCTCTTGCAGTTCTTTTGGCTGTTCCTATTATTTTCATTTGATGCTTGTTTGCCTGGTGGTAGGGGCTGGGAAATGGGGTGTTTTCTGATTATTGTGACAAAGATTCAGTCTTAAGTAGATACTCTGAACCCTTTTCTTGGTGGTGTGACTTTCAGAAGGGATCTTGTGAAATCTACTATAGCTGCTATCTACTATAGCAGCTATAGTAAGCTACCACAAAATCAGTGGCTTAAAACACCACAAAGTAAAATCATTATCGTATCATCCTGAAGGTCAAAAACCTATAATCAAGGCATTGTCAGGGCTGTGTTCCTTTGGGAGGATTCAGGGGAGAATCTGTTTTATTGACTTTTCCAGTTTCTAGGGGAATTCTTTGGCCAAGGGCTGCTTCTTCCATCCTCAATGTCCATTGCTCTAACCTCCGGTTTTTTCATCACATCTCATTCTAACTTTTGCAGTTAAAGAATTCAATTAAAAATGCATAGCAATAGCAGTTGTATGGTATGGCAGATTTACTAGAGGAATTGTTCACAAAATTTGCTTTTGGCAATAAATGGTTGATAATTCTGTATTTGTTTCCTATTGCTACTGTAACAAATTGCCATAAATTTAATGGCTTAAAACAACATAAATTTATGATGGTACAGTTTTGCAGATCATACTTCCAAAATGTGTCTTGTGGGCTAAAAATTGCGGTGTCAGCAGAGCTGTGTTACTTTGGAAGCTTACAGGGGAGAATCTTTGCCATTAGAGGCTTCCTGCATTCCTTAGCTTGTGGACCCTTCCTCCATCTTTATAACACAGTATTTTATCCTTTCTTTCTCCCCCCAGGAGTGGTTTATATTTATTTCTTTTAAAAATCATTTTAAAATTTTATATTCAAATAATGAATGCACATGATTTTATTTATTTATTTTAAGATCTTTATTGAAGTATAATTGCTTTACAGTGGTGTGTTAGTTTCTGTATAGAACCAACTATACATATACATATATCCCCATATCTCCTCCCTCTTGCGTCTCCCTCCCACCCTCCCTGTCCCACCCCTCTAGGTGGTCACAAAGCACCGAGCTGATCTCCCTGTGTTATGCGGCTGCTTCCCACTAACTATCTATTTCAGTAGTATATATAAGTCCATGCCACTCTCTCACTTCGTCCCAGCTTACCCTTTCTCCTCCCCATGTCCTCAAGTCTATTCTCTACATCTGTATCTTTATTCCTGTCTTGCCCCTAGGTTCTTCATAACCCTTATTTTCCCCTTTAGATTCCATATATATGTGTTAGCATACAGTATTTGTTTTTCTCTTTCTGACTTACTTCACTCTTTATGACAGACTCTAGGTCCATCCACCTCACTACAAATAAC